ACACACACACACACACACACACACACACACACACACACACACACACACACACACACACACACTGCAATTTCAAAATACCAGGAAGAAAAGATTCTAAAATGTCCAGTGTTGGGCTTCCCTGGTGGCGCAGTGGTTGAGAGTCCGCCTGCCGATGCAGGGGACGCGGGTTCGTGCCACGGTCCGGGAGGATCCCCACATGCCGCGGAGCGGCTGGGCCTGTGAGCCATGGCCGCTGAGCCTGCGCGTCTGGAGCCTATGCTCCGCAACGGGAGAGGCCACAACAGTGAGAGGCCCGCGTACCGCAAATAAATAAATAAATAAAAAAATAAAATAAAATGTCCAGTGTATTTTAAGCAGAAAGATCAAAAATGAGAATGGTACAGGATTTCAACAGCAATCCTCAAGCTAAAATATAATGCAACACTGCCTTCTAAACTCTGCTGGAAATGGTTTCTAAACTAGAATTCTACATGTAGCCCGAAGAACAATCAAGTGTAAGAGCAAAGGTACGATAAAGACATTTTCACACGTATGACGTTCTCACCACTGACCTCCCACATATCCTCTTTCCACTTCTACTCCCCACAAAAAGCAACAGGAGAATGTATTCTGCTAAACTAGGGAATAAGGAAAAGGAAGTCTCTGCATTTAGGACACAAGCGATACAATGCAGAAGACAGGATGCGGAATTCCCAGGATGAGAGCAAAAAGGAAGTCCCACCATGACAGCTGCGCACAGGCCTACAGAGAACAAGGTAGGGCTGCAGTAAAAATAGAAGGCACTACCAGGAGGAATGGTTAAACTAACTAAATAAAAACCCTTGGTGGGTGTCTATGTCTAACCATACTGAGGATGTTTCATTTGGAGAGTCTAAGGGTAAATTAATGACAAGAATCAAGAAAAGTGTCTTTTTACAATTAACTCAAGGAAAAGCTGAGTTAAATGAAAAAAGAAACATAATGATAAAATACTGCATGGCTTCGATGTGAGCCTTGCTATCATAATCCATACTGATGTATCCTAAAATTGGTAAAAAGCTACATGACGGAATAAGCGGAGAAAAAGTATAGCAGGGGGAGGGAGTTAAAAATGAAACCTTCACCACCCAAAGTAGAAAGCCAACCAGTAATGATTAAAATTGATAACTCAGGTAATAGCCCTACAAGCCTGGAATTTAAAAAGGGAGGGTAGACAAACAAAACCAGAACAAATAGTTTTTGTTAAGTAAGTGCATCTGGGTAATAAAATGGGCATATGGGAGAACGGGGTAGGAATTTGCCCTTTTCCTTATAATGTCTGTAAGACTAATGCTTGCTAAACTATAGATGTACTGCTTTATAAAACATGTTAAGTTTCAAAAATTTTTTTTCATCCACTGAACAATCTATTCTAATCCATTACTTCTTATCTCATAATGGGATTATGGATTATGGATCTTTGGAACAAAAGCATTTAGTCTCACAGCAAAAGAGGATTTAGATTTATATACAAATTTAGTAAAAGACTAATTTTGAATTTGAAAAGCTAGTTCTCTGCTCAAACTCTTTTATATGAAGTTTAAATAAATTACACTATGAATAAAACTGCAATTCATGTCCTCATGACCTCACAATTTTGCTTTAGCCCCTTGCCAATGAAAAGGAAATTAGGCACTTAGCCTAAAATCTCAAAAGCAACCACCAACTATGATTATTTTTAAATTACATTATGTTACATCGCGTTAAATTAACATAGCCTCTCCTCTGTTTTTTAAACCAACCTTGTATGCAGATCTACCTTGTGTGCAAATGAACTATAAAGCAGGGGTCAGCAAACCTATATGACTTGAGTGGCCCAAATCCAACCTGCCCCTGTTTTTATAATACCCACCAACTATGAATATTTTAACCATTTTCAAAAAAAGGTAAAAACCAAAATTAAAAATCGGAATACATTTCTTGACACATGAAAAAAGAGTCACGTGAAATTCAAATCTCTGTCCACAGATAAAGATTTACTGGAACACGGCCTTGTTCATTAATGTTTGCATCTATGGCTGCTTTCTAGTGATGGCAGAGATTGGACGGCCCACAAAGCCTAAAATATTTACTATCTGATCCCTTTCATATTGTTGGCCCTTGAACTAAAGGATTCTAATTCTTAATTTCATTTTTATTTTATTTCAAATGAAATTCAGCAAAATTCATATATAAAAGTATACATATAAAAAGTCCTTGAATCAGAGGTATTTGAATAAGGAACCTTAGGGATGGCCTACACAACCTTTGAAAGAGAAAATAATGGTCTGCTTAGGGCCACTCAGGGAAATGGGACCAGAATCAAGACCAGAGTCTTGGCTCTGAGATGGCTGTCCTCTTAGACATGCATCTGTCACCAAAGTTTTAATCCTAGTATGCCTCTGTTCCTACTCCACTGCATCACTTATTTCATTTTAGTTAAAATGCTAATAAAACATGCCAATTTTTAGTTTGGCCTTCCCCACATATTTAAAACAGATTTCTGTTCATATTTACTGTTGACTGTGCCAATAAAGCAGGATGGAATACTGGTTAAGGACAGTCTTTGGTGTCAGGGAGGCCCAGGCCCTGGCTCTGCTCCCAAGGACCACTCTGCCCTCATAATCCTCTCAACTTCTCTAAACTTCACTTTTCTCACCTCTAAAAGTGAGTGGAGTACCTACCTCAGATGAGCAGTTAGAACACAATGAAAAATGTCAAGAACTTAATGTTCTGACTGTCAGAATTAAGAGCTCGAGAAATGGTACCTATTATACTTTGTCTTATCATGTCCAAATATTTGATAAGCATTCATTATCCCTGAAGAGTTTCATAGGCCGTGTTCTCAAACCTCAGTGTGCATAAGAATCACACTGGTAACCTTGCCAATGCAGATTCCCTTAGCCCTACTCTCAGCTACCCTGATTCTTTAATCTGGAGGGTTAAGATTAACCCTTAACCCCATTTTCGAGCTCAAGTGTGATTTGGATGCGAGTGATCCATGGAGTAAAGTGTACCTAGATAATGAAACAGATACCAAGAGGTTAAGAGACAAGCAAAAGCCTAAATAATTACAGCCTTAAGTACTAGTCTACTTTATCAAAATAGCAAGGAGCTGAGTACTACTCATTCCTTTTGCTTTTTTCTTCCCCTGCTACAACTATCCTAATTATTTTTTTTACTTAAACTTATGCTGGGCTCCATAATTAAGTGTTACATACAATATGAAGATTATCTCCTAGTTTGTAAAGGTTAGGACTTCCAGTTATACATCCAAATAAACATTTAGGGAACTCAAAAGGTCAGTGCCCAGGTCCCAGTGGAATCCCAGTTTACTATCTTGGAATTCAGCGACACAACCTTGTAACCATCCCCAGAGAATGTAAAACTGGCCCATTTTATGTACTGGTACATTCATAAACAGAAAGAAAAAAACAAAAATAATATGTATTCCTACAACACTAAAAGAAGCTGAAAATCTGGCTAAAAACAAGCACAAAACTAAATATACTCTATACCGAGAAACCCTGATGTGTAAACATATGAAGTGAATCACATGCAACAGCTGCACCTTAGGGCAACGTTTTTCAATTAAGTGTCTATTCCAAAACCAGCAACAAAACAGAGTGGACAGTGGCAGGAGTTTGAGGATGCAGGTGTACGGGTTCACGGTTACCTTGCTCCAGTCTAAAGCACAGGGAACGCCTTGCTGCTTCCATCTCCGGAGTCGGATTATCTAGGACATGTCTACACCACTGCAAAGGGCTCAGGGATTTCTCTGATGACGGGAATGTCTTTGAAGAGCCAACGTATAACCTTAAAAAAAGAAATCTACATTATAGGGATTATATAGCTACACAGAGATTACCTCTCTTGTACTTGAGAAAACAACACGTATTTAACAGTTTCTATCAAAACAGAACTCACATTTGATTACTTCAAACATCAAAATCATTTTTAACAGATAAATATCCCCTGGTAGAATATGACACATTCTGTAGCTTGGTGGCAAGGTCGTCTTCAAAAATCTATGGAACAATGTCTCAGAGAGTCCGAGATCTGGGGCTTTTGCTACTGAACTGACCTGGGGCACCGTGATGATCTGATCAGCTCACTTATACTTCTAGAAGTGAACATTTTCATCTCTCTTTGACAACAGAATCTTATGTGAACTTGGGCTAATATACATAAACATGATGTGGCAAACAAGGCAAGTCTTATTTGCATTTAACAAAAGTAAGTTGAAAAACAAAAGTCAGCTGTTTGATTCTCTCAACCCTTAAATAATCAGATATTTCCCATCTTAAATCTATACTAAATTTGATATGTGCTTCTTTCTCATTAAAGCCAAACAGCTTTCAAAGATATGTCTTAGGAAGAGTTCACTTTCAGCATCTACACCATTGCACAATAGTTGGCAGGATTCAAAATAACCACCCTGGGGCACTACAAGTCATAACAAAGGTTTTCTCTCATTGATGTACTGTTTTAAGGTAGGTTTTAGAATATTTTCAGTGACAGGGTTATACAAAAAGGTTTACCTTGAGAATTAACCAACAGTTGACAGAAAAAAGAAAGAAAATTATAATCACAGGCTCTAGTAACTGACCTTGCTATATAAAGCTTTATTCTAATTACAAATCTCATTAAAGTAATATAGTTCAAGCAAAGTTACCATAATTCTAATGGGCAGGTATTCTTGAACTAACATGCTTCATTATTCACTTTTACTGTTATCGTCCAGTCCACCACCTATTCGAGTAATCTATCCCAGAGGGCCGGGGAATGTAGTATTTAGCAAATTATTCTTATAGTTCGGGGTTGGCAAGCTTTTTCTATAAGGGCCAGCTAGTAAATATATAGGCTTTGTGGCCACATAGTCTCTGTCATAACTACTCAACTCTGCCTCTGCAGCCCCAAAGTTATCACCGACAATAAATAATAAGTACAGCTGTGTTCCTATAAACTTTATTTATAGATACTGAAAGTCGAATTTCCCATAATTTTCACGTATCAAAATAGTATTCTTTTGATTTTTTCAATCATTTAAAAACGTAAAAATCTAAGCTGATCAGCTACATAAACCAGGCAGTGGGCCCAATATGCCCACAAGACACAGTTTGCTGACTCCTGTCAGGAGATGAAGATTCTAAAATCTCTCTTTTAATCAACTTGACAGTAATCCTAATATGTCATTCTTCCCTTAGAGTGTGGACCACACTCTAAGAGAGTATGCTGGTTAGTTAAAAATTCTTATGCCTAGGTCCCACCTTGGCCTACTGTTTCAAGATTATCACCAATCTATGTAGATCCTTCCCTTTTGCCCTTCCTTGCTGTCAGACCTCTGCACTGTTACTGTGTAGCTCTCTCTAGACCCCTGTCCAGGACTGGGTAGCTCACTCTAGACCCCCAAGTAAAGGTTAGTCTAAGCCAGTTGGTCTCAATCTTTGACGTATTAAAATCTCTCAGAGGATTTGTTAAAACACAAATTGCTAACACCTGATTGCAGGCAGCTCTAACCTACCTGATTCAGTAGGTTTGGGGTAAAGACCAAACAATGTGAATGTCTAACAAGTTCCCAGGTGATACTGATACTGCTATGTGGAGACCACACCTTGAGAGGCATGCACTGTGCTGAGTCAATCGTGCCAGTTCCATTAATCCTATTTGCCCAGTGACTGGTTTAGGCACAAGCCTTGGACACAGTCCTAGACAATAAAAACTGAGGAGAAATATTATGATGGGCATGTGAGCAAGTTTCTCCTCATGTTTAAAGGGGTCACGAAAGACCCAATTATATGTTGCCTACAACATGGGTACTTTAAATATAAACACACGGGTTAAAAGTAAAAGGACAGACCATCGCAAAGACAAATGAGCAAAACCTACCCACAAAGAAAACCCCAGGCCTAGAAGGTTTCACTACCAAATTCTACCAGATATTTAAAGAAGAATACCAATTCTTCACGAATTCTTCCAAAAAAATAGAAGAGGAGGGAGCACATCCCAACATGGTCTATGAGACCAACATAGCTATGAAACCTGATATCCAAACCAGACACAGACATTACAAGGTAAGAAACTAAAAACCAACACCCCTCATGAACACAGAAGCAAAAGGTCTAAATGTTTTAGCAAATTTGGTACAACCATGTATAAAAGGGATACTTCCTCATTACCAAGTGAGGTTTATCCCAGGAATGAAAGGTTGCCTTAACATTCAAATACCAGTGTAACTTATCACATATACTAAAATAGAAACACCATATGAGAATCTCAATATACAAAGAAAAAAAAAACATATGACATCCATTCCTGATAAAAACTCTCGGCAAATTAAAAAAGGGAGGAAACATCCTCGATCTTATTAAAGGCATCTACAAAAAAGGATCCTTAACAGTGAAAGACTGAACACTTTTCCCCTACTGTCAAGAGCAATACAAGGCCTGCAGGTTCTAGCTAGCACAATCAGGCAACAAAGAAAAACATTTGCATTGGAAAGAAACAAGTAAATCTGTCTTTATTCACAGACAACATGATCGTCTATGTAAAAAAATCATCTATGTATAAAGGAATATACAAAAAAGATACTAGAATGCGTTTAGCAGCAAGACTGTAGGATACCAAATCAAAGCACAAAAGTATTTCTATATTAGCAACAATCAGTATTTTTGAAATTTCACTTCCCATTTACAACAGTATAAGAAAAACCATAAGATGCCTAAGGATAAATCTGACAAAAGATGTCAAAGACCCGTACACCGAAAACTACAAAACATTGAGAGAAATTTAAAAAGAAACAGAGAAACGGACCATGTACATGGGTCAGAAAACTAAATATTGTTAAGATGTCAATTATCCCTAAATTGATCTATTTAACAAAATTTCAACCAAAATCTCAGCATGCTTTTTGTAGAACGTAAAAGCTAAAATTCATATGGAAATGCAAAGATCCTAGAATAGCCAAAACAATGAAGTTGAAGAGCTACTGCTAACTGATTAAGACTTATTCCAAAGCTACAGTAATAAAGACAATTTAGGATGGCATGAAAATAAATAGATCAATGAAAAAAAATAGATGGTCCAGATACAGAAATACTAACATGTGGAATACTGATTTTTCTGACAAAGTACAGAGACAATTCAATGAAGAAAAGATAGTCTTTTGAACAAACGGTGCTGGAACAAATGGATACACATATACAAAAAGTGAACCTTGATCCATACTTTACACACTATCCAAAGTGAACTCAAAACAGATCACAAAAATATGAAACCTAAACTGTAAAACTTTTAGAAGAAACTACAGATGAAAAACTTTGTGTCCTTGGGTTGGCAGTACTTCTTAGATACATATTTTTAGACTGAAAGCATGATCCATAAAAGAAAAAAAATGTATCAACTGGACTTCATCGAAACTAAAAACCTTACTCTTTGAAAGAGACTGTTAAGAGAATAAATGACAAACCACGGATTGGGAGAAAATATTTGCAAATCATTTATCTGATAAAGAAACTTATAAGTGGAATATATAAGAAATTCTGCAAACTTAATAAGCAACCCAGTTTTTAAAAACTGGTAAAAGATTTAAACAGATAGTTCACCAAAGATGAGCTATGGATGGTAAACAGGTGTATGAAAAGAGGCTAATCATTAGTCATTCGGGAAATGCAAACTAGAACACCAGTGAGATACTATCACACAGCTGTTAAATGCCTGAAGATTAGATTAGCCATAGCAAGCCTTCCTGACGACATCGTGCAACTGAAACTCCTAAACTGCCAGCAGAAATGTAAAATGCACAACCACTTTGGAAACGATTCTGGCAGCTTCTTTAAAAATTAACGTACACCTACTTTCTGTTACAGCCACTCAAAAGTCATGAAGTATTTACCTGAAAGACACAAACGCCATGTGTCTATGCAAAGACTTATCTGTAACAGCCCGAAACTGAAAACAACCCAAAACAACCCAAATGTTCATGAAAAGAGGAATGGATAAAACAGTTGTGTCCCTACAATCTAAAACCTTCACGATAAAAAGAAATGAACTACTGATTCATGTAACAACAGAGGTGGATTTCAAAATAATTATCTTGATTGAAAGAAGCCAGACCAAACCAAACAAATGAAAAAGAGTACCTACTATATGATTTCACTGATACAAAAGTATAGAAAACACAAACTAATCTAGATTGACAGAAAACAGATCAGTGGGTGCCTGAGTTGGACGTAGGCAGGATCAGGACAGGAGGAGATACAAGAGGCCACAAGGAAGCTTAAAGCATTGAGCCATCTCCACTATCTTGACTGTGATGATGGTTTTATGGGTTATACGTGGGCCCAAATCTATCAAACAGTACATTTTAAATATATGCAATTTATATTGCACTTATACCGTATTGAAGCTTTACGAAAAACTCACAAGACAGTAAGCAACTGACTTCCCGCCCGTCAGTGAGCCTGGAGCTGCCATCCACCAGGCAGCTGAATCACAGAAGCAGGCGCCACAGCCCTGATAGAAAGGAGCCACAACACTAGGCAACTAACTGTGCAACCTCCTTATCTTTCAGCTTCTTTTAAATTAATACATTTTCCTCACTGTTTAATACACACACAGGTTCAGGCACTCTCTGAGCATCTGCTTGTTTGCAAACCTCTCTCAGCTCCCATGGGAAGCACTGCTCTGCCCATCACCTCCAGCATCCCATGGGGCGACCGCTGCTTTCTCCCGCAGCTAGGAACCTCCACCAAGCAGCCTGCCTGGGGACTTCACACACTCCCACCAGTTTGGGGGTTTTTCTGGTAGAGCGTTTT